GGGGGGGGGGGGGGGGAAGTATATGTATTTTCTGCATATAGACCCAAAACCGATTAAATAAGCTCGGACCTCGGACCACCCCCACCCCCACCCACCCCGTCGCGGAAATCCTGGCGCCACCACTGAGTGGGCTAATTTTAATGATATAAATTGTAATCCTACGGTACCTAAAAGTCAGCTGCACGTTGTAAGTGATCACTTCGTACAATTACGCAACTATGGCTTTGTACCGTATTCGAATTACGTAGGCCTTGTAATTATTATTTTTTTTTTAAATTCTAGCAACATCTCCATTGTCTTTTCCGAGCCCACGACATCCAGTGCTTCCTACAGTTTAAAACATATTGAATATGTTCCTCGGACAATATACAAGAGAGTACCTGTGCTATGCACGTTCAAAAACATCTCAATCTGTAACATCATTATCCGACAGTCTCACAATATACTACCAATAACCAGGGGCGTAGGTTGATTCCCAACTGGGGGTGGGGGTGCGAACATCGTAAATGCTGGATCAGTGGTGTAACGAAGGGTCCGAAGGTCCCGAGCCAGGCACTGCAGCCAGGGGGCGCAAAGGGCACCAGGAGGTGGGGTTAAAGCCCCCGGCCTCTCTAGTTTTTGTAGCGTTTTGTGATGTATGTATATGTTTTTTTTTTGGCACAATGGAGTTTTTTAATTTTGTATAGTGATTTGACAAAATAAGCGTAATATATTGTAATGAAGATAATACTTTGTTCGTCTCTAACCAGATTTCATGTTACACGTTGTTTCATTTTTATTATATTATATAAAACAAATTATTAAATAAAATTATTAAAACGTTCAATCAAAAGAATACGAAAAAAATATTTGTACTCTTTTCTAATTATTACTGTTGCATGTGTGTTATTGGTACTATTGAACAGATTACACAGAATTATAAAAGTAGTTGAAAAAATAAAAATTTCGTCGTCATTTGATGTATTTTTAAACCATGATAACATTTAAAACTCAATTATTCACATTAGGCTGTTGCTCCGACTATACATTTGCCAGTACTGTAGGTATGATATACTGTATGTTCTGTACTGTACGGAAGAATGCTGTTTATGGATTACTTTTTTGTTTTTTGCTCTAACAGGGTTTGGGTCAAACGTCAATGAAATTTGATAATTCCAACGATCTACCCCTTTTTTTCATATTTTACCCAAGTTTTTAAATATTCTAAAATCTATATTTCATTAACCGCTTTTTATCTCATTAACCAAGTTTTTCGTCAAAGTTTAAGAAGAAAATTAAAACGTCTTTATTTCTATTGGCAATCGTGTATTTTTTATGTTAATTTTGTCTTTTTTAATTATATGTTTTAAAGCTATTCTATATAAATACATTTTCAAAGTAAAGAAATAAATGTAGATATTTACTGTACGTTTTTGTTTGGCTTATGTGGTGACATTCCACTTTTATTTCATATAATCAATCATTTTACAAATCAAACATGAATATCTTTAACTAAATACAAGTACGATATTGTAACTTGCAATATTTACTTGCCGTAATAATTTTAATTTCGAGTTTTTTCTTCATTGTTATTGTATTTTAAAAGCCTTTAGAAAAATATAACCTATCTTAATCAATGTTATGCAGTCTTATCCAGCTTTATGTTTTATATTTTAATGCAGCCATCCCGCCCAATAGTGCGAATTATGATTTTTTTTTCTCAGTCATAAGCATGCGCAGTAAAGAATTCGTAGTTATTTATTGAACTGCCCAGGGATGCGGGTAATGAAAAAAAAAATCGCATTTTGGGCGAATTGGCCTCAAGGAAAGAAACAATGGCCGTACGAGTACGAGGGCACATTACCGCCGGTACTTCAACAATAGGAAGGAAAGAATACACTGTATCTATTTCGAATTACGTGTAGTGTTTATTTACATTTAGGATAAAAAAAAAGTTTTTATTTTGTTTTACTACTAGGCATGTCATATAGGTTTATATGTGTACTTTTGTTGGCCTTAATCGAGTTATACTTGCTGCCCTGCAAATTTTCCATCGTAGTACTAGGCAGGCCTAGGTTTAGGCCTACACCAATGAAACTTTTTTATCGGGGGCGGGGTGTGCAGCTGCACCCCTCACACCCATCACCCCCCCCCCCAGCACCCCTGATATCTCAATTATGTAAAATCATACATTGGCACCTGTGATAATACATGAGATAAAAATCATGTACTACATTTCATACCCAACAGGTGCATGTCAGTATCTATGATTAATAGGCCTAAGGTCTACATGAGAAAACAAACTATTATAGACACTCTCATTCATGTGTTCATTAGGTATGACACATAATATTTACAATAGAATATAACCTGAAATTAACACTATAATGGTGAGCAGAGATGTTATATGTAAAATCATACATTGGCACCTGTGATAATACATGAGATAAAAATCATGTACTACATTTCATACCCAACAGGTGCATGTCAGCATCTATGATTAATAGGCCTAAGGTCTACATGAGAAAACAAACTATTATAGACACTCTCATTCATGTGTTCATTAGGTATGACACATAATATTTACAATAGAATATAACCTGAAATTAACACTATAATGGTGAGCAGAGATGTTATCATGGCACTTGCATCATTGAAATAACAAATAATTAACATTAGATGGAATGACTGCTTCAAATTGTAAGTCCGCATAATGGCCTTTGGAAGATGTTGATCTTGATTGACTTCAGTATTGTTATTGTTCTGCTACACGTACTCCTTTTCTATACTATTCCCTATCTTTGTTGGCTGCCCATTTGCCGAGTGGGAACTATCTGTAGAGACTTCCTGACCTGGTTCGTTGTCGGGTGTCTATAAAACGAAAACCGAAGACCCCTATTTTTTCTCTATTATTTTAATAATACACCAGGTTGTCAAAAAAAATCAAAATTACGAAATTTTTTGGACGTCTGTTTGTAAATTTTCAAAGGTCTAACAAAACGAAAAGCTCCAATCATTTCTCAATTATCTTATTGAAAGTATTTTAAAATCATCATAAAACAGTCGCCAAGTACCTATTTCATTATTTCATTGAAATAAAATGAGGAATATCCAACTGGCATTATGGTCAATTGCAATCACTCTGAAATTTGAAATTGAATGACCAGCTAAATTGAAATGTTCGGCTACTGGTTGATCAAGCTTAGATGTTCTGATAGCTGATCTATGTTGTGTCAGTCATTCTCATACGGAGAGTGTTTTTTGTTTCTCCGACATATTGTTTACCACAAATATTACAATATATGAGATAAATGACATTTTTGGTGAGGCAATTAATTGATTACCTTATCCGAAATATGTGGTTTCCATGGTCACGGTAATGTCCAAAAAATCTACACTGCTTGTGGATTTGTTAGCAGTGAATTTGATTGTGGGATGAGCCGAATTAATGTTCAATAGGAACGTATCCAAACTATCTTCACCATGGGTCCAGATCATCATCAATGTAGCGAAACCAAACATCTGGTTTCTTGGGCTGTAGGGACAGGAAATTGGCCTCAAATCGTCCCATAAATAAGTTAGCAAAAGATGGAGCCATTTTGGTGCCCATCGCTGTGCCATGAATTTGAAGGTAATGACCGTCGCCGAAAACAAAGTTATTATTGGTCAGAATCAGCATGATAAGTTCACGGAGATGTGATTTAGATGGGGTTTTGCCCCGAATTTGCTTGTAATTTGAAATGCACGCATTAACACCTTCATGAGGGATATTAGTATACAATGACGAAACATCAAGTGTAGCCAGAACAGTATTATTAGGTAAATTTGAAATTTGGTTAATTTTGCGGATAAAGTCCGTGCATGTACGAGGGGAGAGCAACAACATATGGTCTCAATAAATCATCCACATATTCAGAGATTTTTTCTGTAGCAGTACCGTTGCCCGAAATAATGGGTCTGCCAGGATGCCTGCTTTGTGGATTTTGGGTTAGGACATAGAATCGTCCTGGTGCCGGATCGACCTGGATGAGATGGGGTCCAATTTTGGGATCGATGGAACCTTTTTTAACCATC